CATATCGCACATGGCGGGCTTGTTCCCGCGAGGGGAAGCAACAATCTCACATTGCGGCGATGAGGAAACGCTTGCCGCCCGAGATAGGGAGGCCTTCATTCGGGTTGCTGTTGTCGATGCTCGGACTTGTTCGTGGGCTTGGCGGATGGCGCCGCGATATCGGACCGTGTTCGGCCTCGTTCTCTCAACCCTATTCCCGGGAGGATTCGTTATTCCCGATTGGGGTCGAGTTCTGTGGCGGTACAGAATGGCGATCACGGACCCAGATGACGACTCCGACACAGACTGGGGGGATTACGTTGCCTCTCCCTGAGGCGGCGGCGACGACGCGGCGGCGGCGGCGACCGACACGGCGGCGGCGGCGACGGACGATTCTGTTCTCTTCCGACGCAGCCATGTCGGCCCAAGAGCGACTTTTCGCGGGTGGCGCCAACGAGGCCCGCGCGGAGCTCGCCAGAGCCCACGACAAACGAACCAACACCCGGGGCCCCAGGGCCCGCTCGGCAAGGCGCCGTCCCTGGGCTCCGCCGCCCGACGGCTCGGTGACCTGGGCCGAGAGCCCCCAAGAAGACGCGATGGCGGAGCCACGGCCTGCAGGATTTGGTATCCCGCCAGGGCTGGAGCCAGCCGCGGCGGCGGCGGGAGGTGGTGCTCCAGCCGCGGTGGCGGCGGGAGGTGGTGCTCAAGCCGCGGTGGCGGCGACGCGAGCAGACCTGGGCGCGCTTCCCGTGACGCAGCCGTTCAACAGGAACAACACCGCTCTGAAGTGGATCAGGGACACCTCAGAGGACCCTCCAGGCTTTCCAACAACGCACCAGGTCGACATCACCGAAGTGGACCCCATGGACATAGGAGTGCTCGACCGCACCTCGGGAATGGCATACAGTTTCAAGGTCGGACAGACGCAGCCATGGTCATGGCGGCAAATGTTGGCAGCCTTCAAACCAGAGGTGAAGGACAGAGTTCTGGGACCTGATCCATCGGTGGGCGCCACGCGCATCACGTGCGAGGCCATAGGCGGGCACGACCACAAGCGCTGGCACACCGCGCGTGCCATGGGAAGGCCTTTCGCCGAAGGAGCTCCCGTTCCGATCTGGGACTACCACGTGTACCGCACGGACAACGTCGTCACCAGGTTCCACACCAGCCTCACGAACAACAAAGTTGAGGTAGCCACTGTCGACAGTGGCCTCGCCCTGCCTGGGCCGCCAAGGGCGGGGAAAGGCAAGACGGACGGCAAAGGCACGTACAAGAACAAGACGACAGGGAACTACGAGCAGTCCTACCGCGGCACTGGCTCAGGGATCCGCGGTGGCGGAGTTGGGCCAGCCCCTCAGGGATCCGCGGTGGCGGAGTTGGGCCAGCCAGAGGCCCCCCCGCAGGCCGACGCTTCGGGACCTCCGTCGCGCGCCGTTGCAGGAGAGGGGGCTCAGCAGGCAGCCTCGTGGGAGGCGGGGGCGGCCTGGTGGGAGGCGAAGCAGGAGCCCGCCTCGCGCGCGGACGGTGCGTGGAGCGGCGCAGACTGGTGGAGCAGCGAGTGGAAGAGAGCGGCGGAGCAAGAGCCCGCCTGGTCCCGCGGCGGAGACTGGGAGGAGAGCGGCGGAGACTGGGAGGGCTGGGAGTGGTCCAGCAGCGGTGGCGCCAGCAGTTCCGCCGCAGGCGGGGCAGCTTCGGCAGCCGAGCCTTCCGCGGAGGAGAAGGAGCAGTGGAAGAAGTGGGGGTGGCGCTCGGACTGGAAGTGAGGACGTCTGAAGTGGTGGTGGAGCATATTCTCCGCGGTGGCGGTGTCGTAGAAGCACTCGCGGTGGCGAGGGCCGTGTCCGAGCATCCGTGCGAGGGCGTCAAGCGCGGCGCGAAAAATGCTTTGTTTCCTCTTCCTGCGCATCACTTTCTCCCCCTCCTCTTCACGTTCCTCTCTCTCGACGTGCGATTTGCATGCAGCCGCCCTCTGCCTCGACGCCCGCCCCTCCCCTCCGCGCCTCTGCCTCGACGCCCGCCTCTCCTCTCCGCGCCCCCCCTTGCCCGCCGGACGGCGCCGAATTATCCTGGAAGGGCTCCGGAGGTCCCCCCCTGGCAACCATCGCCCGGCGATGGTTGTCAACGTCTTGGGGTGACAAGCATCGCCTGGCGATGGTTGTCATGGGTGTTGGGGTGACAACCATCGCCTGGCGATGGTTGTCACGGTCTTGGGGTGACAACCATCGCCTGGCGATGGTTGTCACACGGCGTCGTTCCGTCGGCCCCCCGCAGTGGCTCGAGCTGGATCCACGGTGGCGGAGACTCGCGACCTTTTCGCGGTTGCGGATTTCCCCGGCCGCGTCTACGCGGTTGCGGAGCAGCCTCGAAAATGGCAGGGTTCGTTCTCCCAAAGTTCAAGCCCCTCGAGTTTCAGTTCGGTCAGGTTCACGTGCGCGGGGGCCACAGCGGCAAGTTTGCGCCTCTCGTCTCCAAGGTCGTTCGCTCTCCAAACTCCTCGGTGGAGGAGAGGTTTGTGAAGTTGGCTTTCACAGACCAGTGGCTGATCGGCCTTGCAACGGGCTCGACGAAGTACTCCCAGAGTTCGTTTGGGCGCACCTCGTTACTCGCCGACCTGCGCACCCACGTGGAGAAGCTCTGCGACGGCGACGAAGCGCCGGAGGCGCCAGACGCCCAAGAGGCGGAGGTGCAGGGGGAAGACTACGACCCGATGGCCGAGATCGACCAGAACGGCGGGGCCGACACAGACCGCACCAAGGTGGCAGGAGTGCAGGGTGTGAAGCGCACCCGCTACTACAATAACCACGTGAAAAACACCGCGGTCACGGTGAGCATGCCCGAGCGGTGCCCCGAGCAGGATCCTCTCTGCCAGGAGGTCCGCAAGATCAAGCTCTTCATCGAGGATCGCAAGCAGATTTGGCTCCATTTGAACGATCTGGACTGGGCGGTGAGGTACTTATACGCGCAGAACATGCTGAAGGGCGTTCCGATGGTTTCTCCAGACTCGGCGGGGCCAAGCGGCGCTTCAGGCGGCGCGTAGAGACGCCATGGTAATGGTGTTCCCTGCGCCCGCAACGGGGCTCGGGAGATCAGGGGGGTCTCCGAACAGGCGAACAAGGACGGCAAGTCATTCCTAGAAAACGTCAGTGCGTGACTCAGGGTTTCCAGACTCCTGCACTTGGCCCCGTGGTCATGGAGGGCTGGGGTTGCCACAAGCAGGACGTTTTAGCACGCAGTGACACATGGCTTGCCCCTTGTAGTTCCCGCGGTTACAAACGCAGCTCGAATGCCTCGTCCGAAGCGCGCGCGATGAAAAGACGCCTCCCTTGCATCATCTTCCTCCGCCTCCTGTATTGACCACAATAGAAAAGTCGACCTGTAATTCCAAAAACTGAATGAAACTTTTCTGTGGCTCTTTAAGGGGGCCGACGGCGGCCGGGTCACCCGCGAAAGCGTTGGGGAGTCCTGTATTGTCCACAATAGAAAAGCCGACCTGTAATTCAAAAAACTGAATGAATTGTTTCTGTGGTTCTTTAAGGAGGCCGACGGCGGCCGGGTCACCCGCGAAAGCGCTGGGGAGTCCTGCATTGTCCACAATGGAAAAGTCGACCTGTAAGTTCAAAAACTGAATGAAACTTTTCTGTGGCTCTTTAAGGGGGCCGACGGCGGCCGGGTCACCCGCGAAAGCGTTGGGGAGTCCTGTATTGTCCACAATAGAAAAGCCGACCTGTAATTCAAAAACTGAATGAATTGTTTCTGCGGTTCTTTAAGGAGGCCGACGGCGGCCGGGTCACCCGCGAAAGCGCTGGGGAGTCCTGCATTGTCCACAATGGAAAAGTCGACCTGTAAGTTCAAAAACTGAATGAAACTTTTCTGTGGCTCTTTAAGGAGGCCGACGGCGGCCGGGTCACCCGCGAAAGCGTTGGGGAGTCTTGTATTGTCCACAATAGAAAAGCCGACCTGTAATTCCAAAAACTGTATGGAATTTTTCTGCGGCTCTTTAAGGAGGCCGACGGCGGCCGGGTCACCCGCGAGCGCTCTTACTCTTGCTCCTCTTGCTCGACTCCAACGCCGTTTATGCTTCAAAGCCGCGCGCTGTGTAGAGTCACAGTTTCCACCGGGGCGCGATTTCGCTGCAGTGGCGGCGCAACTCGCGGTGGCGAGGCGCGCCTCGGCGAGCGCGCATGTCCGCGCATGCTGACCAGCCCACCGTTGAAACGGTAGCAAAGTATCTTGGGGAATTCCGCGTGATTGACGAATCTGGGAAAATCTTCAAGGCCAAATGGGAGCAGAAACCTTCGCTCCCGACGAAGCGCCCAGCTGGGGTACACGGCTGGGCTTCCTGTTGCTTTTGTGACTCACGAGGGTGGACGTTTGGTCTCCGTTTGCACGTGTGCGCCGCTACTCCGTGCTCGGCCAAATACCCCGCATCTAAATATGGGTGTCGCCTGTCCCCTCCGAACCACGTGCGACTACTCGATGCACCACCTGTGGCGGGGTCGGCACCTGGGGCGGGCGCGGCGCCACCGGCCTCCGCGGTAGCGGAGTTGGCGCCCGAAGCAGCAGCGCCTCCGCCCGAAGCAGCAGCGGCTCCGCCACCCCCAGTGGCGGCACCTCTGGCACCCCCAGTGGCGCCCGAAGCGCCAACGCCAGCAGCGCAGCAGCCAGCGCCAGCGGCGGCGCCTCCGCCAGAACCGAAGCCACCTCTGCCACCCCCAGTGGCGGCACCTCCGCCACAACCGCCAGTGGCGGCACCTCCGCAAGAACCGGAGCCACCTCTGCCACCCCCAGTGGCGGCACCTCTGCCACCCCCAGTGGCGGAGGAGGCGCCACCTCCGCCACAACCGCAGCCATCTCTGCAACCCCCAGTGGCGGACTTAGCAGCGGTGGCTCCCGCGCCGCCGCCTGCTGTCACGTCCTCATCCGCAGAAGTCGTCGCGCCGCCTGAAAGGGCCGCGTTGTTGTTCATTCCCTGTGCCGCGCCTAGGCCACCAGAAGCGGCGGCAGCGGTCGCGCCAGCGAAGGTCCCTCCACTGCAGCTACCCGCGGTTGCGGGGTGCGACATCGATGTCACAAACGTGGAAGACGTGGACCCCGTCGAGAATCTTGTCGCAGCCAGCGGGCTGCACAACGAGAGGGTGGCAGCAGAGTTGAATAGGTTCGCAATTGCTATGGAAGAGCACCGCGGATACATCGGAATCGCCATGTTCGTGATTTTTGCGTTGCGGTATCGCGTGCGCGTCTTTCTTTGGTACGGGGACACATGTGAAGATGCATTGCTCAAGTATGCTCCGTGGGCCAATGATGCTGTGAGTGTGGTTGCAAAATGCCATGCTGTCTCCTGTGCGTTTCGAGATGATGGCTCAGTCCGTGGGTTGGATGACGAGGCCCTGCGAACCAACCATTGGGTGGCGGGTTTCCCGCTCGATGGTGGCGGCGCCCCTGCTGGCGCCAGCCTGGCCGAGAGCATGTGCGAGGAGACCCGCTTTTTCTATGCGCAGTACCTGTCGCACTCCGTGCAGCTCGTTGCAACAGTTACGGATGGAGATTGTGGCCTCGACGTGATGTGTTTCATGCTCGGCTGGAACCGCAGCAGCGTGAACCGGGACGCTCTGCGTTGCGAGTTGTGCGCCTACATTCTCGAGCACGCGGGCAATCGAGCTTTCGTGGCGACGTTGCGGCACACGGGAGAGATCGATAACCATTTTGGGCTCTACGAGTTAGATGCCGCGGGCGCGGCGTTGGTCGCTGCGCGCCCCACGGAGCATCGCCATGGTGATGGCGGCGCAGAGGGCGCCCTGTTAGAGGTGCCGCAGCAAGCAGAGAGGCACTACAGCGAAGAGGAGGTGCGGGCCTTGAGGTGGAAATGTGACCTGCGCACGGCGGCGCGGGAGATCATTGTCGGCATGCTCAAGCGCCTGCCCGATGAGTGCGTGAATGCCATGGTTCGCGAGCACACGACCCGAGGTGACGGGGGGGCGAAGACGCAAAAAAAAATTGCGCCGGCGTTCTTGTTGGGCCGCGACGCACCCCCCCCTAAGAAGCGAAAGGCCGCGGAATACTTCCTAGCATGGATGGAGGAGCACAAAGGGCCCTTGGACGGAAAGACCTCTTCTCAATTGCAGCGCGGCAGATTCCCGCACGGTCTGTTCAAGGCGTTTGCCACAGAGCACCCCGCCGTCGCCCAGGTCACCGGTCTAGCCGTGCCCCAGGGGGAAAAAATCCCCCTTGCTCTGAAAGACAAAAAAAAGGCTTGGGTCGATTACAGGCGAGTATTCAGAATATACCAGCACGCAGTGCAACAGTTCCTGACATCCGCGGTGGCGGAGCGCCCCGTCCGTCCGGACCAGAAGGGCTGGCAGTACAGAAAAGGGGCGGACTGTACAGTTCGGGACCACAAGCGACGTAGATGTTGGGGCGCTGGCAGACACAAGGCGCGCGCAACGTTGCGGGGACAATTGGCCGAGTGGTACAGCATCATGCGGCACAGCGTTGACGTGAAGGTCATGTGCCGCTTCCCAAAGAAAGTCCTGTTGGCGAAAGCGCTGAAACTACAGGAAGAGTATTATGTGGCCCACCTAAACAAGAAGACGGCACCTCAGACCGTGCAGATCAACGGTAGATGGCTGGCTGGCTTCATGAGGGAGTGCCGGATTTCCTCGCGGAAGCCGAATCGTAAATTCAAAGTGCCGCGCGTGGTCTTGGCGGAACGCCTGTCTCTTTTCTGGGTCATCGTGTCGAGACTACGGAAGATGGTCATGCTGCATCATGGGTACGACCCAGAAATGCGGAACGTCGACCAATCTCCATTCCACATGAACGAGGCGGGAAGCTGCGAGGGGAACGCGCTTTCACTGACGAGCGCGGTCACAGTACCCTTGATCGAAAACCATGCGGCGACGAGGGAGCGCTGGAGCTTGAATTCGGTCACGGATTCTTGCCGAGAAAGGGTTATGCGAGAAGTGCCAGGGTGCGAATTGATGTTCAAGGCAGAGGGTAAACAGCTGGAGGGCAAATTGAAAACATTCGCGGAATCCAGACATGTGCCCTTCAAGTTCTCCGTGGTGACGGGGCCGAGCGGGTCGCACCGAGAGCACGACATCCTCAATCATTTGGCTCCTCCGTGTGCCGCAGTGGGCCCTTCCTTCTGCCCCCCCCCATCCTGTCTTCTCCCTCCCCCCTCCAATCTGCCCACCTCCCTCCTCTCCCCCCCTCCCACATGCCCCCCGCCTCATTGAAACGAACCAGTCCCCCTCAACCCGTGCCCACCTGCGCCGCCAAGTGCCCCCGCGAGGGGCTGTCGGATTTCCTGGAGAAGTGGTTGTTACCGTGGGGCCCTGGCAGGCGGTGGGAGTTGTTTCTATTAGATGCGCGCGCCCCTGGTCTCACTGATAATGTGCAGCGCTTGTGCTGGACCCGCGGCTACATCTGCGTGGCCCGCGGTGGTGGGGCTTCTATGGTCTGCCAAACAAATGATACCGACCTGCATTTGCACATTCGCAAGAGGTTCATTGAACTGCAAACGGCCAGGATGGTCGAGATAGCGCGAATCAGTGGCGGCGGCATGGTGGACCTGACGAAAGAGGAGAACATCGATATCATGGCACAGGTCATTTCCAATAGGGCTCTCCATGTGCAAGCATGTAAGGGATACAAACTCACGGGCACAACGGTCGCATTGCACGGTTCTGAAGATGATCAAATGTGCAGAGAGGCCAAAGACTTCTGGGATGAAATGGGCATGCGAAGCCGCATTGACTCCGCGGTGGCGGAAGTTGCGGAGAAGCACGCTGCTGGTCTTTTGCCTTGGAACTACAAGACTGTGCAGTCGCTCATCACGCCGTACCCTCGCAGGGGCCACCTAGATGAGGTGAAAATTGGCCAGGAAGACGAAGCCACCGCGGACCCAGATGGAGTCCCTTGGGAAACGGACGAGGCCCGAAAGGAGGAGGAGGAGGAGGACGAGCGCGCCGCAAAAGCGGACGACGACGCCGACGATCAGGGCGACGGCGCCGACGATGAGGACACCGAGGAGGTGCTGGATTTCGACGCGGCAGACTGGGTGGATCCAGGTGAAGCTGCGATCGCTTTTGCGAAGACCGGAGGTGCTCCGAACAGCCATGGCGATGGCGACAAAGAGGAGAGGGCCGCGCATGGTATGTCCTTGGGCGACCAGCAGGCGGAACGTATGATTCAGGAGTCGTCCAGGATGAGATCTTTACAGGAGGCCCTACAGATATTTCGCAACATGAACACTCAGGTGGGTGCGTCTCTTGCTTCCGCTGTGACGTCAGTTCTGCGCAGGGAAACCAAGCGGCACAAGGCGCTCTCCCAGGAGGACCCGATGGTTCACTACCAATTGCAGGCAGCATTGCAAGATGAGGAGGCTGAGGCTCGCCGCGCCAGGCTTGCGTTTAAAGAGCAGATGTCGGCGGAGAAAGAAAAGGCGCGCGTCAAGCGTGAGTTGCGCGAGGCGACGGAGAAGCTCAAGAAGATCCGCACGGAACAGAGAGAGGCCGAAGCCGTGGTGACGGCGATGGAGCAGATGAGAGTTTACTCCTTGGAGCAGTTGGGGCAAGGGAACAAAAAAGGCGGTAATAAGGAGCACCAAAAAGCGCGCTTCCAGGTATTACAAGCTCTTCGGAAAGCTGCCGAACTGTCACCTGAGCAAACGAGCCAATTGGAGTTCTTCAAGACGGAATGGGGCAGTCGGATGGCTGCGACCCACGGCGAGGACTGGGCGCAGCTCTTTGCTGAGATGGTTCAGAAGGTGGTGAACGACCTGCAGGAGGGTCGAACAGATGCGCTGTCTCAGTTCATGCACAATGAGACCAGACGCGTGTTAGGCGATGCGCCTGCCTTGATTTTGCCGGGCATTACCCGCGCTTAGACATTCCTCCGCGGCGGCGGTGGCACCGCTGTGACCGGCGAGGCGTCTCCGCGGTGGCGGAGCGCACTGGTGCTGCCGAGTGCTGCTTGCCTCTGGAGCGTCACCGAAAAAATTCTGCTCCGCGGGGGCCCCCCCTGGGACCCCTCGCTGCTCTCGACCCCCCCTGCCTTCCCGAACCATTGGAGACCCCGATCCCCGCAACAATAGAAGACCCCAAGTAGGTTACATCCCTTCCTCCCCCCCCTCCTTTCCTCCCCGCCACCCTCCTGCGCGCCCTCGCCCTCGCCTCCTTCATGTAATTATTCCAGCGGCGACATGCAGAGACCCTAACTATCGTCATTACAGTTGCTGTCGCGGCTCAAGCATGCCCGCCCTAGAGCTCACTCGCCTTCATGGTCATGGAGCTTCCCCAGGGGGCTCCGCTGGCCGCGATGCAGATGACGATGGCCGCGCAACCCCCAGAAGCTTGCCCACTTATGCGCCGACGGACGCATCTGGCATGCCAGGAGATCTGGATGACATCCCACCGGACGCAGACCTCCTGCTGAAGCCCCTGCGGGATGACGGGACGGAGTGCTCTGCTGGTGTTTGGACGGTTGACACCCGCGGTGGTGGGGAGGGTGCGAAGGGAAAGGGTGGCAAAGGCAGTAGCCATGGAGGCACCTTTGGCGTCTTGACCGCCAACTGGGGCGGGAAGTGGACCGTTCCAGAACTGCATGCGCACATGCAACAAGATCTGAAAAGCTCTTCCTGCCAGTTCCTAGTCATCCAGGAAGCTTCTAGCGACCTGCTGGACTACGTGGGACAAGACCCAGGGAAGGGCGGAGACAGCGCCAAGGGCGCGCAGCGGCCTGCAGCCAAGTTCATAGGTGTGCGAGGCCCAGAGGAGGGCGACAGCACTATGATATGCGGCAGGGAGCCCCTGGTGTCGGGGATGCGGCTGCTAGTGTTCCATCGGACAAAGGATGGAACATGCACGCACACGAAGAAGGACAAAGCGAAGACCAAGGTCACGAAGACCGCGGTTAGCAGGATCATGACTGCATCTGCAAAGATGCGATTTTGGAGAACCCGCGGTAGCGGAGAGGCCGATTCTGATGACCAGGACTTCGATGAGCTCAGGTTCGCCAGCGTGCACTTGAACTACAAGACGGCGAAGAAAGAGTTGTATGCTGGTGGAGAGTCCTACAAACGTTTCTGGGATTTGCTGGCGAGGTACTTGGCCGAGTTCCGCCCCCGCATTCTCTGCGGGGACTTCAACATGGCGCTCTTCCTTGTTGTGCCGGAACTGCGGGCGCGCGGCTTCCAGATCAATCCGGCAGCGTGGTATCCTTGGCAGCAGCAGCACGAAAGGTTTGTCCGAGCCGACTCGTGGCATCTTCCGCGCAGGGCCGTGCGAAGGGATTCGGATGTGCTACGGTTTCTCTGCGCTCGGGATCGAGGGGCCCGACCTGCCTGCGAATTGCTCCATGGTTATGGAGACCCTTCGCGACCAGGACGGCAGAGAAACGGGTAAACGCCCCTGCCCCATCACGAACATCCCTTTTCTAGGCCAGGGGTCCCCGTGCACCAGCTACCACCCGCAGGTGCCCGCGCGCAGGGACAAGTGCGTTCAGTGGTCTTTCACGCCTGTCTTCGACGAGGTCTCACCCGCGGTGGCGGAGGTCTTGGACAGCGCGAAGAATGACAAGGCGATGTTCCCGTTCAGAGTGAACTCCGACACGGGGTCCGCTTCGTGGAGCTGGTCTGGAACCCCGCCGTCGAAACAGAAGCCAGTCCAGTTCGAGAAGTTCGACCCCCAGCGAGAGATGTTCAAACGTGGAGCACACATGCCCTTGATGATCTACGTGGGCGGGCCTGCTGACGTGCGGCGGACTGCGCAAGCGCAGGCGAAGCGGGCGGCTAACGCGGACAGGCGCGGTTTGACCTGGGAAAGGAGGCAGCCCACGCAGGGCGCAAAAGGAAAGGGGACAGAGCATGGGCAGCAGAAAGGCGCGGGCGCCTACGGCCGCGGTGGCGGCGAGCCGCGCGACAATCGCGGCAAGGGAGGGAAATGGGGTGCGCGAGGTCAGGGTCAGCAAGCTCCCTGGACAGGCTGGTGGTCGTGAAAATCATCCCTTGGTGACCCGCAGTGGCGGGGAGTAGGGGGCGCTAGGGCGAGGTGCGGCGACGGTGGTTCGCTTCTTATAAGACGCAGCGATCTCTTTGCGGTGAGAGAAAATGCATCGAGGGTATCTGATGTCACCCAGGACGCGGCGACAACACAGGGCAGGGCATGTGATGTCACCCAGGAGTGGCGGCGAGTGGCGGCGACAACACAGGGCAGGGCATGTGATGTCACCCAAGATGGCCTGTTTCAGACAATATAAAGTTTCAGTTTATTTGGGGAAATGGATTACCCTTTTGACGGACAACATGTTCGGAAGCATGCTCTTCTCATTGTAAGGCGATCGTTCCGGCTATGAGGAGCGTCAATGGCGAGGATTGGGATGTTTGTTTATTTGTTTTTGTGTGTGTGTGTGTGTGTGTGTGTGTGTGTGTGTGTGTGTGTTTGTGTGCATGTTTGTGTTTGTCTCTGCGCTGCAGCCCCTGAGGATGCAGCCGCCGGCCATTCGGAAAAGCAGCCAGCCACCGAAGGCGGTCTGGCCAAGGGTCTCTTCGCAGCCTGGCGGTACCGCGCTGGCGCCGCGGACGGCCGGACGAGCGACGCAGAACAGCGGGGCCGCCGGCGCCGACCTTGGCGCGCAGAAGCTGCCCGCCTCAGGTCGCGCGTCGGCGCCCCTTGCTTGCAGTGTGGCGTGCCGCGCGGGCGGCCCGCGTGAGCCGCCGCGTGAGGTCGCCGTGGCATCTCCTTGGTAGTCGAAAGCCAGACTGTCAGATTGGATTGGGCCCCAAGGGCCAATCTGGCCTGGCCAAACTGGAGGATTGGGGTTATTCGCCAGACTGGATTCGCGTTGGCTCCCTCGTCAGATTGCCCCCGTTTGCCAGATTGGGCCTGCCAGATTGGCGCCAGATTGGTTTCGACTACCCAGATCTCGCGTGCGACCCCCTTCTTGTTTGGTCGTTGCTCAGATGGCCGCTCGGCCCAAAGAGGCCCCCCCGCAGAGAAGCCCAGGGCGGAACCCCCCCATGGAAGCACGGAGGCCACTCGGGGCCGGGCGCCGATCCGAGCCGCGTCGGACCCCACGAGAGAGCAGCGCGCACCAGCCGTGTAGTCTAGCAGTGGCAGAACGTCCTGGCCCGCCTATAGTCGATAGTCCCACCAAAGAATGTTCAAAGAACTTTTTTTTGGTCTGCACGAAATGTTCTTAGAACATGTCTGTCTGAGACTGCTCTGTTTTGACACATATCGGGTTTACGTTCTAAGAACATGGTTTTTGTTCTTAGAACCTTTCTGGGTTCTAAAAACATGTGGTGGTAGGCCTACAGGAATGAAGGGTCCGTCGGTCCCTGCTCAACGTAGGCCAGCGACTGGAGCCAGCAACCCCGGCCCACACTCGCAGACAACGCGGAGGTGCGCGCGCACGCAGTCCTCGTCGGCGGCGAGGCAGAGGCGGTCCGCTCCAGCGCGTGGCAATTCGGGCAGGCTGGCAAGCGAGAGAGGGAAAAGGACGAGGGCGACCGCGCAGAGGGAGGGGGAGGGCATGAGCTTTCAGACGTAGAAGAGTTCCGCGTCGAGCGGGCCGGGGCGACCGGCCTTGGCAGCGGTGACCGTGGCAGCAGCCGTGCCGGGGCGAGGGCGCACCCACGGGCACTGAGCGCGCGCACGTACATTTAAGTCGGGCACGTCGACCACAGCGCAAACACCCAGAATGCGCGGACAGAAACTGCAGGATGCTAAAGCGTAATCCCGCTCAGTGCTCTCAGACTTTGAGCGGAGGTACATGTGTTGGACGTGTTCTCAGCACGGACAACGTGGCCTCCAACTCTGCACACGAGTCCATGATGTATGAGGGACTCCGAGGACATGTTCCAACCGGCGAAAACGATCCACGGGGACGAGAGCGAAATGAAAAGAGCCCCCAGTCGAGAGTAGCGTTGATGATTGCGACCGCACCACCCTTCTCCCGAGTACCCATAGGAGAAGATGGCGACGAACGAGTAGCCCCGCATCTCGATGGTGGAGGCGCGAAAGCCGTCGAGCGCTTGGCGTTGAGGTGCGTTGGCCCGTTTCGCCTGAGACATCCTCACAACTCAGGGTTCTGTTCGCGAAGTGCTCAGGCCCGTTTCGCTTGAGACAGCCTCGGGATCCAGGAGAACCAGAACAGTTCAAATGTCTTCGATTCGCGTCCCAGCCGAGCGAGCTCGAGTCAAACGCACTGGCGTCAGGCGGCGTCGACTTGCCGCATCTTGGGCAAACTTGTAAAATATCGAATGGCGTCGGGTGGCGTCGCTGGCCGCATCTGTCCGCATCAGGGGCGACGCCCGCACGAGCGGGCACTGGCACGCACCCGCTTCGCCGCATAAGCCTGCAGAAATTATCCTTGCGGAAGGCCCAACCATCTGCAGTTGTGAGTATCGCCGCTGTGGGCATCGCCTTCGGTGGATCTCCTCATGGTGCCACGAAGCGTGCAAAGGGCGTGCCGAAATGGGGCGGGACTATGGCGTCCATCGCGCAAACAATTGCATCCAGCCCACAAATATTGCAGTCGCTACTGCACCTCTCCCCGCGGACCCGTTGCGTCAGACCCACGACTCCAGCTCAGAGATTCGATTCGCGGGCTGGGCCCGCGATTCCAATTCGATTCAGTTTGGCTCGATTCCCCGTTATCGGCCAGACCCAGCCGGAGCCGGCCGATTTCGATTGGATTCGGAACGATTCGCTGGCGATCCGATCCGTTCCCGATCCGACCAGATCGATCCGGTCCAGCCTTGGCCTTGCAGGAGGGCGGGGAGTGTCGTGGGCAACGTTGTGGGGGGGGGGTCAGGGGCATGGGGCAGGGGTTCGAGGTTTGAGGCCCTAGGTCTTCGGGCGTTTTCGATGGGTCTGGTCGGCAAAAACGGGCGACAGGGAGCAGGAGTCTCTCCCCATGCCCGCCCCTGCGGAGCATCGTGGCTGCCCACGACCCCTCGGAAAAAGGCAGAGACAGGGCGGCGATCGTGCTGCAGCCCGCCGGTTTTCTTGGGAAGCTGTCTCAGCGGCACGGGTGCCAGGGAAAGGGGGGGGTCGGAGTCCTAGAGATTGACACCAACACCAAGATCGGCGGTGTTCCTCCACCGAGGGAAGACGATCCCGATCTCGGTGATGGTGGTAATATTCTGGCTTCCAAGGTGACCGAAATATTACCACCAACACCGAAATCTAAGATCATCATCTCCCTGTGGAGGCAAACCCCTGTGCTGGTGTTGGTGCCAATTTCCAGGCCTCCAAGGGAGGGGAAGGCGGCAGAGGCGGGGAGGAGGGAAGGGCGCGAGGGCACGGGAGCGCCAGGTCGGTTCCACGGGAGCGTCAGTGGGTTCCGGTGAGGTCTTTTTGTTGCTCAAGCCCTGTCTCGAATCCTACCGCACCTGTGCATCAGCCACTGACCAATCCGCAACGCTTGTTCGATTCGCGTCATCTCCGTCATGCGCGCGGCCGCGCTTCCTGCGCTGATCGTTGGTACCGTGCTACAGGCGACTCCAGTGCGTTCTCTTCGCGCGCCGCCCCCCCAGTCGCCCCTGTGGCAGGCCCTCTATCCAGAGACCGCGCCTTTTGAAGATCAGGAGGAGCCCGAGGACAGCGAGTTCGAGGTACGCGTGACTCCCGACGAGGTGAAGGCCCTCATTCCAGAGGGCGCAAGGAATGTTGCTTGTCCCAACCGTCTTGGTGTTAGAGGTGCCCGAAAGCTTTATGTCCATGATGCCACCGACGGGCTAGGTTCCAGGATCCTGAACGTCATCGGTGCTCTGAGGTACGCTGAGAAGATGAATGTTGGCTTCGGGGGGTTGGTCTCACTGGGGGGGGGGCGCCATGGTCACACAGCGTGAATATCTCTGCCGGATTGCAGGCGTTTTTTGCGTGTGACTTATACGTTGACGCTCTGCCGCAAGATACGCAGGTATTCAGCTGCCTGCAGCAAGCCCCGCCCTCGTGCCAGCCCAGCATTTTGGGTGGCGACTGTTCCAGGGGGCACGGGAGGCCGTCACGTGTGACAACTCGTGTCACCCGGATTGAGAGGCCGCGATGAGGTGATGGGGATTATGACGATGATATCAATCGACGGTGGGGATGGTGCGATTGGTCATGGTGATGATGAGGATGATGATCATGATGATCATAATAGCGATGCTGGTGGTATATGTGATGGTGATGATAATGATGATGATGATGATGATGATGATGATGATGATGATGATGATGATGATGATGATGATGATGCTGATGGTGATGGTGATGGTGATGGTGATGGTGATGGTGATACTTATGATGATGGCCACGATGAGGACGCTGATGATGATGGTGATGGTTATGATGACGACGATGACGATGATGCTGGTAATGGTGATGAGTAGGATGATGATGCTGATGATGTTGATGCTGATGGTGAGGCTGATGCGGGTGATGATGATTATGTTGATGACGATTACGATGGCGATGATGATGCTGATGCTGATGCTGATGATGATGATGCCGATGATGCTGACACTGATTATGATGATGGCGACGATGGGGGTGAAGATGATGACGAGGATGATGGTGATGATGATGTTGATACTGACGACGACGATGGTGGTGATGATGATGCTCCTGATGATGATGCAGATGATGAGTATGATTATGATGATGCTGATGATGATGACGATGATGATGATGATGATGCTGATGCTGATGATTATGATGATGATGCTGATTATGCTGATGATGCTAGTTATGATGCTGATGCTGATGATGATGATGATGATGATGATGCTGATGCTGATGGTGATGGTGGTGGT